GTACTATGCATGATTCTTTATCGCCTTACGAGATCATCGCCAACAAAACCAATTATTTTTATTTTTTGAAATGCCGGATGCTATTTCGGCAAAGTATGAAATAAACGTCCTGATGAGGTTATTATGTAAATGATGTGCATGTTACGGTGAATGACCGAAATCGGTGGTTGTTGACTTTCACCGGTGAATGTTGACAATCACATAGTCGCTTTGGTGAATGTCCGAAATATTTATTACATTCGATTTGATATTAATTTATTCGTGGATATAATTACATTTATTCGATATTTTAATACTTTCTGATGATAGATCAGAGGAAACATCAGTGTTTGGAGTATCGGGCCATACATTTACATTTAACCGGTATACATTTGCCCGGTATACCCTACATTGATGTTTTTTAAGGTTAAGTGCCACTGCCCGGTATACCCTACACGGATGTTTTTTTTAAGGTTAAGTGCCACTGCCCGGTATACCCTACATTGATGTTTTTTTAAGGTCAAGTGCCATTGCCCGGCATATATTTGTCCGATACTCCAAACACTGATGTTTCTTCAGTAAGTATTAAAATATAGAATAAATATAAATATATCAAATAAATATAATAATATCAACGAATAAATTAATATAAAATTGGATATAACAAATATTTCGGACATTCACCAAAGCTATTATGTGATTGTTGACATTCACCGGTGTGAGTCGACATTCTCCACATTTCGGTCATTCACCGTAGCATAACCATTAAAACAAAACAATCCTTATTAAAAGAGTAAGTCGACATAACAAAATTATAAAAGTAAATTATACATGATTAAATTATGAAAAAAAAAACTAATAAAAAAGGTGATTAAATTTTGAATATCTTTTTAAAAATAAAATACTTAACAATGATCTAACCCTTTTTTAAGATATGCCAAACCTTTTAAAAAACTAGCAAAATCTGTCTAATATTTGCAAATTTAGTTTGTTGTTATATACCGTCTGGCCAGACAGGAGAATCATGAGAAATTAGCGTGGCATTCAATGTGTTAATAAGCAAAGTTACTTTGCTAATGAGTTGAAAATTTCACTTTGCGATTATCAGATCTTATTTGTTTTATCCCTACAAAATGGAGATCGAAATCATTGCAAATCAAAGTGAAGCAGAGAAACAAAAGATTAAGCATTGTAGTTCAGGAACCGCAGAATCCAATTTGAAAAAAAGCAAATAGTAGGGGAATATTGGAATCAATTTTTGTTTAAAACACACTAATCTGATTATCGGAACATGTTAATAATTTTACCGATTGTATTTTAATTTCAAAACTACGAATGTTATTGTTTTTAAAACAGAGTGGAATTTTAAACTCAAATACTGTGCTTTCCTTAAACATAAATTAGCTACCACTTCCTATTTTTTTAGACAGGATGATGCGGTTCTTTATAATTATAAATAATTATTATAATTAATCTTGGTGGAAAGTAGACTTGAAATACTTCCGCGCCATTAATAGGTTAAAGCAAGCTATGGTCAGCTGTAAGTACAGATTATTCCATCGTCTTAATATATAATTTTAGAATCTTTGTGATAAATGAAGACACATCAACACATTAGGGGGCACATATGATATTTAAGTGAGGAAAAACATTCTTAAAATCTGATAAATTGATATTGAAGAAGACTAAATTGAAAACATCAAAACCTGTTCAATTACCTGAGTGTATTAAAAGGAAGAGAAAAGCCGACAACCTAAAATGCAAATTTCTTCCGGCAATCAAAAAAGTTCTGATAATTTTAGTTTGCCTTCTTCAATAGTGATTCTTTGGATATTACACAGTCTACAGTTACGCATAAGTGATTTTTGAACCTGCTTAAGATGAAAAGTATGCGTTTGATGACAGTGCGTCATATGATATCTTCCTGTGTTTCTACAAGTGTTCTGTGATTTAGGGTGATTCCATAGTAAAAAGTCATCCGGAGAACATGTAGGTCATGCAATGAATTTCTCACGTTCAATTCGTTTTCTTTTATCGTTTACTCAATTATAATTAACATGGCTTGTCCGTCTGGCCACACGGTAAATAATTGCAAACTAAGTTTGAATAATTGAATATATTAGTCAGATTTTGTTAGATTTTTAAAGTGGTTTAGCATGGTGAATTTTATAACCATACGAATTATTTAAAAATAGTGGTGGATAAAAATCTACTAAATTACATTTATTAAACCAAGAATCACAATTAATAAACTACCACTTGAAAATATTTATTCACTGTCCGGAGCAAGTTGGCATCTCTGTGTATATAAATAAAACTATTTTTGTGTGTTCTATATAGCATTAATTTCTTCAAACCATAATAATATAAAAAAAATTAAAATTTACTCGAATTATGTGTTTCGAATAATCTTGACTTCTCCGGTCACCGGTGACCCCCATGGCAGTCAACGTGTTAAGACCTGATGGCGCTTCAAAGCGAATTGTTTACGAATGGTTAATTCAGCTAGGACAAACCACTTCTGACCTCTACCATTTTCTTTTTCCAGATTCGAAGCCTGCATGCGCCATTTTTATATTTTCAACGTAATTCTTTTCCATGGACTGCAGCTGATGTTATTAAATTAACTAAAATCACTAAAATGGCAATTCATATCTTATTCAACTAAACTTTCACTTAATAACAATAGACATAAACACATAAATTAGCAATAGGGAAGGAAATATTTTTGTTTCTTACCTATTCTCTTGTTTTAACAACTTATGAGTGCTTTCGAATTAATTTTGATTCTTTTTTTTAGGATTTGGATTGTTAGAATCAGGTTACGTGAACCGGAAGAATGAGGTGAATATTATGGTAAAGAATTCAGTCGATGTGATATTTGGAGGTTTGGGATACTGGATGTTTGGATATGCGTTTTCTTTTGGAAAAGATCCTGGTTCTAATTTTTTTATTGGTAAATATACTTGAATTTTGAAAGAATTAGAAATGGTAAAAGACGAATCTTAAAAGTACACTGAAATATAAAAATCTGTGAATGCAATAGTAATATGTAGAGGACAGATTATTTATTTAAATATCAACCTCTCTTTCTTTGTATGTATGGTAAAACAATTAAAATTTTCGAAAATTTTTTTGGTAATCATATTTCTGTTATATAATCATAACCCCAATAAAATTGTATAAAAAACAAGCAATTTAAGCGATTTTTTCAAATCCTACTAGTATATCACACTCTCCCTATATCTTGTTTAAATTTTCAATCCTTAATAAAATGCTTTTTTATTCATATACTCAAGTTCAAATACATTTTTTTTAAAACTTTTAATGGATGACTCTTGATGCTAATGCAGTTTTTTCAAATAATAATTCATTAATTAAATAGGGAAATGGAATTTTCTTTATATATATTTTGTTCAAATTTTCAATTGTTTTCAAAATACCTTAAATTCATACTTTTAATTTAGTGGCGGGCGGAGTTATCAGGGCTGATTGTGCTCCGGAAAAAATCCGGATTTCTGGATTTTTTGCTAACCGTGATCCGGAAGTTTCAGGAGATCGAGTGTTCAGATGGTTCAAAAAATCATTGATCACAAAAGTTTCTGGAAATCTAATTTTCAGAGGTGGAACTTAACTTTTTCACAGTTTATTTTATTTGTAAGGGAGAGTCAGATACTTTATAAGCGTGTATTCAAGATTAATATTAATTTTTTATCTGTAAATAGTTATTATAATCATAAACTCAAGAAAAAAAAAGATATATTTGTAAATTTTAATTACTTCTCCAGGTCGACATAGGTATTTTGTAAATGGTATAGGTTTGTGTAAAATTTTAAATATATTTCAAGTAAACCAAGAAATATTGAGAAAAAGGAAAAATACCCTGTTTAAATTTTTTCGATTTAAACTTTTTTTTTTACTCAAGAAATTTTCCGGAATTTTGACTTGGGTTCACAATCACCCCTGAGCTATTGACAATGCCAAGCGTCATCTATCAATAGGTACCTCGTGTGTAAACGAAGTTAGCATGTATTATATACCAGTGAATTGATGTTTAATATTCGTAGTGGTAGTTACGCCACAAGTTTAAATACATTTTTGTTAGACTTGTAGTAGATGACACTAGATATTAATACAGTTTTTTCAAATATTAATTAATTAATTAAATTTGATTAATTAATTCTAGTTTTATATGAGAGAAAACATATTAATTATTTACTAAAAAGTAACTGAAATAAAATTTTTCTTTGTAAGTAGGAATTGACTTCAATTGTTTTTTTTTATATTACTTGTTTACAAGCATCTTAATCAGGCATATAAGAAAAAGAGAAGTGTCAGTTTGTTTATCAGAAGCAGTGATAATTCATGTGCAAAAAAATAAATGTGGAATAAATTTAATTCTTTATCAGATAATTTACAAATTTAATGATCCATTCGTAACCATCACTACACATTACACGATCAATGAAATATATTTAAGACGAAAATATCCCTTGCATTCATTAAGAAAAAATTTAAAGGAAAGTGATAAAAACTGTTTATGGTTTTATACTCTTTTAACCCTTTAACGGGCCCTTTATTTCTAGTAAAGGTAAATTAAAGTATTTTTGGAATTGAAATTGTATTAAGAACAGTAATTGATATAAAAAATAAAAAACTCATTTAGTTTATAAAAATGCCAATTTTTGGTGGTAAATATATTTAACATGACCTATTAGGAGCTTACTGACTTTTATTTTTCTTTATTTATAAAATAAATTCCTTAAATGCTAAAAACTTCAAAAGGAATTATGTATTTTATAACTTTTATACGTTTTTCAAAAGTGACAAATGGTTACCAATTTTATTTAAACTCACTTCAAGAAAGCTGAAGTTATTGAAAAATGGAAACCTAAATTACAAGTGGTACAACGTGGTGGTAAGTATACTTACCCCGGCCTTCAAAAGGGTTAATATATTTTTCATGCCTTCTAATGCTCAGATCTTCACATTCCAGTACTCAATTTTCACGGTGCGAGGATGTGACCTCAAATGTGCTAAATTTATTAGTGCAGACAATATTTTAAATTGCGAAATCAGACACGAAAAACGTACTTTTTCTGAATAAACATATCTTTGTTTCGACGGATTCAAATTTCTGACCCCCAAGACATTGGGGGTAGCCACAATCTGGGAAATATGGTTTGGTCAGGAGATCTGTCCAACGTTTGGACCCCATAATGTAAAAATGTTTTTTTTTGCGTATTTCGCCATTTCTGTAGAAATTTTTAAGCGAATTCAAAACTTTTTGCACATAATTATAAAATTTCATTTATTGAAAGCAAAACTGAAAAATATAACTGAAAAATACCCTTCAAAAACTAACTTTAATTAAATATTTATCATTTTTTATTATTTCTCTTAAAAATGGTCGGAAAAATTTCGAATTGTAAGGTTTACATTTTTTTACTCATTTTAAAGAATTGCATTTTGTATTTTGCAATGTCAAATTTTGAATTTGACATTGCAAAATACAAAATTTGAGAGACATCGGTCGAATAGTTCCTAAGAAATCAAATTGTAAAGAAGCAGTATTTTTTAAATTTGATTTCTCAGGAACTATTCAACCGATTTTTATGAAATTTTGTATTTTGTCATTTTATATGTATTTTGTTATTTCAAATTGCACTCTTTAAAATGATTTAAAAATTGCATACCTTACAATTCAAATGTTTCTTGATTATTATTAAATAATAATCAAGAAAC